AGCGGGGACAACTTTGTGCCATTAGTTTTAATATTAGAGTGCATTGACCTATTATCAAACATTCAGTTAAGAACATTATTTGTGTAACCGTGGACGTTTTTTTTTTTTTCGATATTTGAATGTTTAAACGAGTTATACGAAGTGTCGCAATTGATTTTAAAATGCTTAAATCGCGTTTAAAAATCGAACATGAATAAATATCGGACAGCGCCTGTTACTCGGTTGCCCGGACAATGTTCTGATCCTGAAGACATTATACTATCGACGAGCAAAGTTTTCCCCGCCGAACGCAAATTCGATGTGCAGTAGGTGTACGTTTACATGTGGTATTTTAGAAAAATCGTTTGGCTACGAGAGTAACCTAACCTAACCTATAACCGCGTTGATGCGCACGGCCCAAAACCCATCACGAATCGTTTGCTAATAACTATTGTTATTACTGTTGTTGCTATATATTTTGTCCGAGCGGAATATTATTGTCGGCCGCAACAGAATGCCTATTAGGTAGCGTAATAATACGTGTACACGATAATACGTCCCGGGACTGTCGACCGGGGCGAGCGCAATCAAAACCAATTCTATCCAACAATAATGTTATAATCGAAAATATAAGCGGTTTAATAATACGGTATTTTTTTTTAATTTCCTTTTTTTTTTTTTTTTTTAATTCCTCCGTAAAATCGACTGGGAAACGACCGGGAAACTGGTCTCACGACAACGACGACGACGACGACGACGCGGGCGCGCGTGAAACGACCGCATACGCCTTTTGAAATAATCGCGATAAATATCTCCGCGATTTCGCCATCATCTGCGGGCCGAATCGTCGTCGCGGCCGCGGCCGAAGGTCGTCCAAGGCGGATAAGTCGTTCCGAAGATAATAATAATAATAATAATATTGTGTTTCGTATACGCAATATTATATTAGTAATATTATTATTATTATTATTATTATCGTCGAATATCGACAGTGGACGGCGGTGCGGCCAGCAGCTGTCGAAAGAGTTCGAATTTATTAGTATATATATATATAGTGGGTTAAAAAACTATACACCCGAGTATTATGAAAAAAAAAAAAGAAAAAAAAGAAAACCGCACACAATATAGGACGCATGGGGATTGTTACATATTGATAGAATAACAACAGTCAATTAGCCATGATAAGGACAATATACAATTAGCGTATGCGATTACAGCCCGATGCATAAAAATAGGTACTTGGGGACTTTTCTTTGACTTTAAAAAATTATTAAAGATCACGCGTTCGATGAAAAGTTGAAACGTCGAAATGTTCAGAAGTGTAAACCCTGTAAAATGATCATCTTCAAATTTTTCGAAAATAATAAAATAAAAAGACATTTTTCGGGTTTTTTTTCACCAACATGTTTTTATTGAAATATAATTGCAGTCCTTATCCCTGCGAGTAATATAAATAAAAAAAAGCTGTACTAGGATACGGGAGACGGGTGCGGCCACTGTTATAGGTAATTTTTATGTATACCTGTAAGCAATGATAAGCCATTGCTAACGAAAATACGGTTCTAAGCGGAGTTCAGCAGATTAGCGATGCTTTGTCAATAATATATACGCCGTATTATAGTAAATTAATTAATCTTTATTAATATTTGCTTAATGTTGTACCGAAATTCCCGTTTTCCTACGTTTTTTTGCATATTTTTTCCGGCTTTTCGCATTCGATGAGAAAACTATTGAGAAAATCGAAAAATGACCTAGCTAAAGTACGTCCCCACACAGATTTCCTTTCAGAAAATGTGCTACACATAAAAATCGGAGTAAGAATTCCGGTAATTCCGATAGAAAAGTAAGTTTATTCGCTCCACTCTGAATCTAAAAAAAAAAAAAAAACAGAATTTGACTATCATTATTATCTCGGGAGGTTTTGCAATGGTATATCTTCGTGGGACATCCTGAATAATATATACAATACGGAGTATTCGTTTTTTTTTTTTTTTTTGGTGAGGGGAAGGGAAATTTTATAAAAATTTAAATTTAGTTGTATTTTTACATTTTAGGTACGGCCGTTTTTACGAGCCAACACGATGCGTTTTAAACCGAAAACCCAGAAAAAAACCGTAGGAATCGTGTTTAACGGATTTCAATATTTAAAACGTAAAAACCTAAGTAATAAGGCTGTTTATGTTGTTTATTAGAGTGTGCGTTGAAATTCTTTGAAACTATTATCAGCGAAAACAACTGTTTGCTCTCGGTCGTAATATCTGAGTGAATGTTGACCCAATATCAAACCTAAAGGTATCGGAACATCTGTGTTTGTACGTTGGTTTTTTTTTTTTTTATTTTTTTCCGTCGATATTTTAATTTTCGAACGGGACACGAGCGTTTTTAAATTTTACACGTAAAACAAGAAAACCGCGTGCAAACACGGGACATAATGTCGCGAACCTTTCGCGTTCGACAACGACGCTCGCTCGATCCGGTCGAATATCGAAGTACGCGTTTTACCCGGGCGCCGCACGCCGCGAATTTTTTTTCCCCCCGTCTCGATCCGCCCGGAAAACGACCGCCGCCAAAACCGCACGCCGCCCCCCACCCCCCTCCACCCCGCGAACGCGCTCGACGAACGACAATGCGCAAACGTTGTCGCGCGTGTCGGTCATCGTTTACGCGCGACATTGCGTTTTAGTGTGGCGCGGCCGACGTTATCATCGCGCGATTACGTCGAAACGAAACAACCGACCGGCTCGGCGGAGAGACACGGCACTCCGTGTAAAAAAAAAAAACCCGTTGCGACGTCGCGGTGCACGGTCGTGCACGCGCATACCGTAGCGGTTATATAGGCGAGCGCCCCGTAAATAACGTTACCGCGTAATTTTTTTTTTTTTCATATTATTTCTCCTGTCGTACGCGCGGCGAAATCGTTATCGGCGACCGAAGCGACGACGACGGGCAGAGCCCCTCGAGCCTTCCAATTAAACGCCGCCGCCGCCGCCGTTTTTCTCGTTTCATCACCGCCGACCCGAGTTTCGTCATTTATTTAGGTCAGCAAACAATCAAATTCAGACTAATCGCACGGACGGCGGCGGGGCTGCGGCATTATGTTATATTATAGGCGTTGTAAACGTTCACGTATACCTACGTACAAAACGCAATAACAATTTCAACGACGACGATCGATTACCGATGTTTACCCGCTTTGTGCCGGTAAAAAGCCGCCGCCGCGGGTTAATATTTACTCGCACACTACACTACCGTCCGTTCGAATTTCGTTTTGGGATTTTGTTGGATTCGGAACGTACCGAGGAACGTATCGGTTTTAAGACGGTGTTTTTTTTTTTTTGTTTTCATTTAGTCACTTTATTTTTTTATTTTTTTTTTACCGCGCACACGGTTTTTACTAGAAATCTATTGCTCCGACGTATCAATTAGCGTAGCACCACATTAAACGGACATTTTATCTACAGCCGGTTCCTTTACGGAGGTCCGCGTTTTGATTTCCCAAGCGGTGTTCGTAATAATCTGAGAAAACCGGGGAAAAACTTAGAAAAAAAAAAAAAATGTAGGGATATACGAACAAATATTTACAGCGGAGTAACGATTTCATGATTTTACATTTTTATACTAACCTATATGAACCTTAAGCTCAATTCAATTAATGGTTTTTCGTTGTTTACAGTTATATTACTTTATGTACATCCTACTTTCCTAATTTCTCACCAATAACAGTTTTTTGTTTGTTTTGTATACGTGGCGTGTGTTACGTGTGTTTATAATTCGTTCGGGTTACAGCTTTTTGATATCTCTTCGATAAAGTCTTCAACGCCACACGGGTTGCCTAAAAGGCTAAAACTCTTATCAAAGTGTTTTTGTTATTTTTATAAAAATTACACTCATATGTTTGCGATTGTTTGTTATCGTTAAAGTACACAGATGCTTATAATCCACCGAGAGTTCTGTTAATTATCAAAAATAACTGGAAACAAATAATTTCTGTTTAGAAAATCGGACGTGATACACGTTTTTTTTAATACGATAACGATATTAGATATTTATATATATATATATGGATAATTATTACGAGTCACTATACTGTGACCTGTTGTTACAGTTTATCTGTGTTTTACGCAGATGTCACGTGGGCGTGGATTTGCAACGATAAAAAATATAAACTTCTTTCCTAATAGTATATTATTATTAGTATAACGAACATATTTGTGGTAATCATAGTAGTCTATGTACATACATATTTTTTTTTCGTAAACCATGTGGCGAATTTTTTGTGTTATTTCAAGTAAATTTGATTTTGGTTTCAACAGCATAATTGTATGGAATATTATTTTAGTTTCAATTATGAGGTTCATTTTGAGTTAATATAGGATTTTTTTCTTAAACCGTCTTAGGATCAAATTTTGATGAAAATAGTAAATATTATGGCATTTCAAAACATTTATAATTAAACTTCGCTCAGAATTGTGTTTCGTTGGCAATAGTTTATCATTTATTATACAATATACGTATATAAATACAATTATGTTTCTTGTATCTTCCTAACTACCCATCTAACACAGCGGCAGGCTAGTATGCCAGTATCAACAATTATTTTATTTTTATTGTTATAATTATTTCATACGTGTTAACGAGGTAAACCAGAAATTAATCAAAATAATTCAATTTGTTTACATTAAAATATAAAAAATTATGTTTTAGCCTCTCTTTAGAGGGAATAAATATATAAATAAAAGTGAACAGTAACCTTCCCAATGTTTTGAATGTAAAGTATTCACATTTTTATTAAGATCAGAAATAACAGTAGATATTTAAAGAATGCCAACATAAATTAAACTTGATTTTTAAATATAAACAATAACGCGAACATTTTCGTTTCCACGTTACCCACCTACCAAAAACTATGACGACCGAGTAATAAATAGTATAATATTTGCGACACAGCATTTTAAAATAATATTTGTACAGAAGGTGTACATTAACAAGCACCGAAACGCTAAAGTTTGTTGCAATAAAATATGACTGATAATAATAAATTCTTGTTGGACACGAATGAAGCAGCAGATATCGTACAACAATTTGTGAAACTAAATTATCCAATATTGAACAAAACGCCAGAGGTTGCTTTTTTATATAATATCAACGACCAGCTTCAAGTAACACTTTTAATCACCCGAAATTTTAACGAAAGCGCCATCATTCCAGCACCAATCATTAGAAAGAAAATTTACATTTCAACTGAAATCACTACCGATCACCAACCAACACTAAACACCTCTACTGATCTGGAAACCTTTCCTGATACAACGGAAAATAATTTGCCACGTCAAACCTTTGAAAGTATTAAATATCCAGCTGATATCGCAACAAATCATTCACCAACAGTAAACTTAAGAAAAAAAATGTACGTTTCGGATAAAATCGGCACCTACTACCGAACATCGTTGAACGCCTCTACGGAACTGAAAACACGTTCAAATACTATCAAAGATGATGCGTGGAATCAAATCGTTGAACAACCTTACGTTCCTGTCGATAACCATCAATGCTCGATAAATACTCCCGTGACTCTGAAAACACTTTCTGCTACTACGAAAAACAATAATATGATGAAACAAATCCATGAACGTGAAAACTTTCCAGCTGATTTCGTTATGTACGACCATCCTTTAAATACCTCCACCATCATGCAACCTCTTTCGGGTACTACAGAAAAAAATTTGACAACTCCTATCCTTGACTCGCAAACTCTTCCCATTAGTACCGAATATAACAATACGAGTCAAATCCCCATACCTGTGCCCTTAAATGCTAAAAATAAAATGTCATCAAAATTTATCTCCGCCAGCTACATTCGTCCTAGTACTATCAAAAATTATCCCCCATCTAAAATCCCAATACGAAAATTCCCTCCGGGTTTTATCCAAGCCTACCACCGTCCCGCTCTGAATACCTTCACCGTCTTTCAACCTCTTCCGAAAACTATAGAAAATAATCTGACAACATCTATCTCAAATTTGCAAAATCTTCCCATTACAATTAAACATAACGGGTGTAAATACATAGATAAAAACCCCATACGTTTGCCCCTTAATACTAAAATCAGGACGTCGAATAAACCCCTACCCGAAACCTCCGCCAAATACATTTGTTCTAGTACAACCACGAAAAAACCCCCATCTAGAATCCTAAATCACAAATCATCTCCTGGTTTTATCCCAGCCAAACATCAACCCGCTCTAAATACCTCCGCCGTCCTGCAACCTCTTTCGGATACTACAGAAAAAAACCTAGCAACTCCTATCCTTGACTTGCAAACTCTTCCCATTAGTACCGAATATAAAAATACCAGTCAAATCCCCATACGTGTGCCCTTAAATGCTAAAAATAAAATGTCATCAAAAATTATCTCCACCAGCTACATTCGTCCTAGTACTATCAAAAATCATCCCCCATCTAAAATCCCAATACGAAAATTCCCTCCGGGTTTTACTCCAACCTAATACAAATCCGCTCTAAAAACCTCCAACTTCCTGTAACTTCTTCCGAATATTACAGTAAAGAAGCTGGTGACTAATCCACCATCTTAAGTCCCAATACCCTTCCCTAACCGAACATTCCACGAAATTCCTCTAAATACCGTTATCGCAAATGACTTTCGCAACTACAGCGTACAACACAAGCAACGAGCATGATGTATACTAAATCTTGCATTCCATCTAATAAAGTGATTTATTCTATGTGTTGTGTTAATATTTATATTTCGTATACAAATAAATAACATCAACTTATCCGAATAGCGATTTTTTTAGCTTTGCATTTGAAACTAAAAACTTAAATATTCAGAAACATGTTTAACAATATGACTTCTTCAAATATTATGCGATTTTCATTTAAACGTAAAAAGTTAGACTTATTGTCTTTTACAATTTTAAAAGTAAATGCAATATTGCCACATTTTAAATCAATTAAGTAAAAACTGTTATAACAAAATAATTCGCATGATGGTTGGGCAGCTCTTGCGGGTGATAAGTTAAAACAGAAGTTCACGCCTGGCCACGGGCTTCGTTCGACGCCGAGCGGGGTTCACCTGAGCTACTCATTTTGATATTGTCGCAAGTCGGACATAACTCGAAAACCGATGGAATGAGTGGAATCACCCGCTCAATTTGGAGGCTTCAGGGATCTACCGAATTGCTATTTATAACACAGTCCTCGTTGCAGGTTGTAAATGGGGTAACCAAAGGCATCCCGCGAAACGACCTCAATCTTTTAGTCTCTAATCCCGCTGTGCCAAGCTCAGTGGGCAAGGCACAGCACTCGACAGCCGGTCAGGAATTTATCTGATTATATACATTTTTAATCTTAAATTTCCTTATGGTTAATATTACGCATTCAACTATTTTATAAACTTTAAAAATAATTTGTTCCGTTCTATTTATGTATTCCTCATATTATTAATATAGTTTGATAACTATATTGTATTTATGATATAATAATATATAATAAATATTTTTTTTATCTCTTTATTTTGTTTGTCTCGCTTTTTACGTACATTATTTTTATTTTTTGAAATGTATTTTATTTATTATAATGTATAAGTACTTTTAATCTCTAATTTAAGCTCAGCTAAAAGAGATTGATAATCATAAATTGCATTTGTTGAATATATTTTGTAAATTTATTATGATTTATTAAAAAAAAAAAAAATATGTCAGTTATCAGTATACGCTTGTGTATCTAAATATTGTCTATTTTTCTAAAAGGTATACGCTATAATTGAAAAATACGATTTGGGCATACGCCGTATACTCCCGTATACCTTCCAATACACCGCAGTAATATAAATGGGTACTCACTTTTTTGCCATCTCTCTCGTTCACTATGAAACTTTTATTGAAATGCATTAAAGCATTTATAAACACAATGGTTTTTTCGCAGATTTTCTTCCGGCCATTTGATGTCGTACAAATAATTTGATTATACCCAATCGAAAAATGACGGAGACCTCTTTTGTCAGATTTCAGATCTAGTTGGTGACTAAAAAACCGTAGGAAAAACGGGAATTGTACACGGCAACAATGCCGTTGTTACTTACCTAATATGGCTTAATGAGGCTTGTACAGCCCTCCCATCCCCAACAAGGTTTTTTTCTATTTTACGAGCGAACTGTTATTACGCAAATTCTGCATAATAGGATCGTACGAATTTACACTAATTCCACGCACTAAATTTTGGTAAAAAAAAAAAAAATAAAAATTGCTAAAATCGAAATATGGGCTGGTGAAATGCACGTAAAATACACATCATAGTAAAAACCAACGGTTCTTCCGCTACTCCCGAAACCTAACATCGCTCTGTAACGTGCGTAGTTTTACATTTATAGGCATTAATATAATAGGCGCGTGATAGAAACGTTTTCCCGTATCGTCACGACGCGTTTCTGTATGGTTATACGATCGTTTTGTTGACCGAACCATCAAATTAGTACTGTTGCATCGCGTACGTATCGTGGTATAAGTCGGTGTCACACCGGCGGCGTAAATACGTACATTCCGTGAGCCTATATTATTATATTGCGGGTGTATATTAGTATTATACGACCGACGACGACCGATAAGAATATTTACGGAGAAAAAAAAAAAAAAAAAAAAACACCATGTTTGAGTCGTGTTGTTTGATTTATTTGTCCGTGCCGAAAAGTCGTAAATCGCCGGGCTCGTCGATATCTGCCGCTGCGGCGGCAGTTACGGGACGACGAGGAAACGAGCCGACACCGGTCCGGTAGCCGCGACGATTTCCCACGCCCACGACGACGGACGGACGGCCGGACCCCGAACACAGAACGTGATCTCGGCTCACGAGAGAATAAATAATATATACAGGGTGGTGTAGTGGAACGGATTTTAAAAGAGAAGCGTGATAAATCCCACTGCAGCTAATGCCATTGCCGTAGTAGCTATATAGAATGTGTTCTAGAAGAAAGTGACCGGTCGGTTTCATATGAAATTACACCAAAAAAATGATGGAGAAACTCCATTTAAAACGCGGAGGGGGGGGGGAATCTAACGTTTTTATTTTTGAAGTTATGGGATATTTAACGTTTTTTTTATAATACTGTACTTACTGTATGCATTTTTGTTTTAAATTATTTTTTACTAAATTCAAAAAAGTAATAAATGTTTGTCAACAATTTGTATTTTTAAATAAATCAAATATAACTCCAAATACTTTTTATACACAGTAAAATACAATAAACCTCTTTGTAAAACCAATACATTCTTCGATACATTCAGAATCTAAAACTATAGTAAATAACAAATTTTCTATTGTATTTCCTATAAGAATTTATTTGTTTTACAAAGATTTTTTTAGGTTCTGAGTGGAGCGAAGAAGTTTATGGTTTTACAAAAATGTTCACTTTTTTTTTCTATGGACATATTTTCTACCATAAATCTTGCTCCAATTTGTATGTATATCACCTTTTCTAAAAAGAAATTGGTGTGGGGAGGTACTTTAGCGAGGTCATTTTTTTGATTTTCTCAATAGTTTTCCCATCAAATGCGAAAAACCGAAAAAAAAAAAACGGAGGAAAAACGGGAAAATGTATGAAATATATTAGAATATTATTATGATTTATTTTTTCTATGGACAACTTTTCTACCAGCAATTTTCCTCCAACTTAAAATGATAGCAATTTTTCTAAAAGGAAATTTCACTTGGACGTGTAAAATCAACTTTTATGGTGGAAAAAAATAAAATAATAATAAAAAGGGAAAAAGAACATATTCAAAACGTTACGATATTAATATTTTTAACACGTAAACTCCAACATTTTTGATACCAGCACCCTACCCATACGCTAAAACTGCCACTGCCTCACTCAATATCTATAATTGTTGTAAAGTAGACGAAGGGGATTGAATGCGCGTTCGATCGTTACGTAACTAGATCTATGTTTTTTTAACGTGTACAATTATTGTCAATTTTTTCACTTAACTTTAAAGAGTTAATATCAATATTCAATATTACTTGCCAAATGAAGATTTACGTTATGTTCTTTACGTACTCCTTGCAGCACCCCACAATAACCCGGTACCCACCTACGTATGAGTCCGACTGTGATGCGACTACAGCGTAAGAAAAGAAAAACGGTTTTATTATTATTTTCACCGGGCTCACAATAATAATAATACTATTATTATTAAAAAAACGTGTATCTATGGATTCGCGTGCGTGGCAGCCCACGTCGTTACGCCCGACGACTGCGCGAATCGTTTTGTCCGGTCGTAAGTTTATAACGATTAATACCGTTTTTTTTTTTTTTCTTTAGTCACAGAAGACCGGAGAGTCATTATATTATACAGGAGTATTAAAACGACACGACAGTACATGTTTTTTTTCAAAACTCTGTTTTACCACCGATGGCTATTATACTGGTATACGCACGATTAATACGCATTACTTCAATGCGTCATAAAATGTTTATTTTATTAATCATGACGGATAAATTCCGGTGGCTAAGGCACCTCTTATTATTTTTGATAATATTGTCAGCTCCCTTTAGTTTAAATCTTCAAGTCTAGTGAGTGGAAGAGTGAGAGGGAGGGGGAGAGGAGCGCTTTAGTTAATGTCAATGCAATATTTTCAATGCGATTAAAAAAAAAAAACTCTAATTAGTTTAATTTAAAAATTAATTTTTTAATGCCTATTAGGTTATAGTACGTAATCAGACTCTGGTTTACTTCATTTTTCCGAGCAAGCATATGGGTAGTATAGTGTTTGAGTTGGGGGGGGGGTGCAGTTTATTTTTCTATTCTATTAGTACCTATCACTACTTATAAGATTATTATGAACGAATGTGGGATAAAAACATTTTAAAGGTCTTGTCTCCGTGTCGGGACGTTTAGTTAGAAATAGCGGGTTCTCCGGAACGCCCCTCGATTTTCGATAAACATAGTGCCCCTTCAAAGCTCGTCACATTTTCACCACTAAATTAACTTCAGCTCTGATATGAAAGAACGCGTGCAAACGATAAGACGAGGATTTATATTTTCCGTGAGAATCGCAGAACATCGAATTATAAATATATATACCTATACAATTAAATATTATAAACGTATAATTTATGCATGTATTTTACTTTACCAGAGTTAAACCCTATTATTGTAGATGCACTCGCATAGAATAATAAACCCACGCAATAATATACGAGTTAACCAAAGTTATTTACGTCGTATTAAATTATTAATTAGCGTACATTTGCGGCCCCGTGTAAAAGCGGTAAGGCACTGTTTCCTCGGTGCTGTGCCGAAAAGCGCTCTGAGAATTTCGGAATACATCCCACATGCTGCCCCGGAATGAAAGAAGGAGACCCCACCGGGAGATTATTACAGTAGTTATTGTATTATATTTTTTTTAATACGTGAAAACGTTTCGCCGGTATTATGTTTGATGAAAGCGTAAATATTTACAACAATATAATATTTATTGTGCGCCGCCG